TGGATCCCTTTCTTTAATATTAAGTTATTCAGAAGTTAATGTTCGATTTTAGAATAAACATTTAGTATTTAAAATAGACATACAAAAATATATTACTTATTCCTAAAAATTAAAGTGTCCTCCGTGTTAACTTTATATCTGTAGTATCATATACAAATTAGATAGATAAGTATAAATAGAGAACAACTGGAGAACATAGTGGGGCTATGATTAGCAAATCCGGTTGCTATTCAGGACACGGAGAACTGTACTACGACTATACTATGCAGAGAGATATAGAAAACATAACTATATAAATATATATATATATATATATATATATATATATATATATATATATATAGTATGGTATACAAATTAGATAGACAAGTATAAATAGAGAAAAATGGCGAACATAGTGGGGCTATGACTAGCAAATCCGGTTGCTATTCAGGACACTGAGAACTGTACTATGATTACTACTACTACGCAGAGAGAGAGAGAGAGAGAGAGAGAGAGAGAGAGAGAGAGAGAGAGAGAGAGCAAAACATAACAATATCAATATATTTTATATTTAACTTAAAAAACATTCTATATCGCTTATCTTGAGCATGAAAAAGGAAAATATGCTTTTACTTTCTTTGCATGAGTTCAAGTTTGATCACAATGCTTCTCAAAGTGTTGCCAATATTAACAGAGCATGGAGTGAAGGATCCACTTGTGATCAAACAATATGGCACTTGTTTCTGGAATTCCACAGAGGGAATAGAAGTCTCGAAGATCAAGTTGTTAGAGGACGTTCAACTGAGATTAACAATCAACATGAAAAAAAAATCTAGAGGAACAAAACTCATGTCAAAGTATGAAAGAAATGTTTCAGATAATGGGTGTCAGCCTGCCAACAATATTGGGCCATTTCAAAAAAATTGGCAAAGGGAAAAAACTCACAGAATGTCTTCCACATGAAATCAGTGTATGTGAAAGAATTCGGTGTTTCCAAGGGTGTTCCATGCTGCATGTCCCTTGTCTTTCCCTTTATTCGACCCGTGAGTATCAGATTTTCCAGGCCCTTCTTCCTCATCATGTGTATCAGAAACTTCACCTGCTTCTTTCTAATGTTAATTATAACCCTTCTCCTTGTTTGTAATCTCCCCAGGACCTCATCGTTACTCGCATGCTCGGTACATGATATCCTTAGCATCCTTCTGTAGAACCACATCACCGTCGCCTTGAGCCTCTTCTTCATCTTTTAGGAAATCGTCCAACATTCGCTGCTTTTCTATAATGGCTAATTAAATATATGTAAATATTCCGAAATGTAATTCCGAAAAACATCCCTGAAAATTAGTAATAATTAAAGAACACAGCGAATGCCAAAGACTTTGCATTATGCTTGGCATATGGACGTGAAATATGAGAATACGTAAAAACAAAAGCAATTCTGGTTTTACTTTAATTGTAAAAAATATTAGTCAGAATTTCTTACCCTTTCCCTATTCCATAATATTCTTCTTTTTTTTTTCTTAAATTTCTTCTCTTTTCGACATACCTAAAAAGCGAAAAGCTGTCATAGAATTTCCGTTTTTCGAAGGAAAAATTGCTGTAAATATCCCCAGGAGGTAAGAGGATATTTACGGAAAAGACTTCATTTAACGTAAGCAAATAAGTTCCATGCTGCATGTCACTGGTCTTTCCTATTTGACACCTGGATATCAGATTCTCCAGAAATCTCCCCCCCCTCGCCTAAAGTATCCCAAAAACATCAGCTGCTTCTTCCTGGTCTTAATTATAACACTTCACCTTGTTTTCAACCTCTCCAAGACCTCATCGTTGCTCATATGCTCGGTTCATGATATCCTTAGCATCCTTCTGTAGAACCACATCTCCGTCTCCTCGAGTTTCTTCTTCATCTTTGAGGAAATCGTCCAACATTCGCTGCTTTTCTATAATGTGTAGTTAAATATAACAAGCGTAATTCCGAAAAAACATCCCTGAAAATTAGTAATCATTAAAGAACAAACCAAATATCAGCGACTTTGCCTTATGCTTGGCATATATATGTGAAATATAAGAAACTGACTTCTGATGAGAAGTGGACTTTTTATGACAGTCGTAAAGGATCGGCTCTATGACGAAGAACGCAAACATTTTTCAGAAGCGAAATTGCACTAACGGATGATTGTTGCCACTGTTTTACGATATCCATTCAGGCTTTCTGGAATCTAGCCAAAACATACTATCAGCAACTGGGTGAAATGCGCATTCAGTTAAGCAAAATGCGACCAGCGATGGTTAATCGACGAGGTTCACTTGTGCTTCATGACAATGCTCGGCCACATATTGCCAGAATGAAACTGCAGAAGCTCACCAACTTGGGATATGAGAATTTGCCACGTGCACCAGATTCCCTTGATCTCTCGCTCATCGATTAACACTTTTTCAAACATCTTGTAATTTTTTAATCCAAAAGACATTTCGTTGCAAAGAAGATGCAGAAACTGCATTTAAAGATTGCTTGGTGTTCAAACCTTTACTGTTTTATCATAAAAGCATAAATAAATTTATAAATCAATGGCAGAAATGCATCATTGTCTAGGATTTCTATTTCCACTGATTTAAACATTATTTAACCACATTAATTCACGAATAAAAGTTGATTCTAAAATCGGACATTATTTTCCGACCAACCTAGCAGAAAAATATCTAACAAATGCCCGACACGTTTTGTTGGTAAATACATCGTAGTTATAAAATATATATATATATATATATATATATATATATATATATATATATATATATATGTCTGGTTCCCTGGATTTCAGAAAATTAACCATCACGTGAAATTCCTTAGCAGAAGAAAAATAAAGGAGTAAATGGTAGAGTGTTGAAAACAGTTATCACTGGATATCAGAAGGAACCATCTTGATCTTCGAGACTCGTTATCCTCACTGTGGAATTCCAGAAACAAGTGCCATACTCTCCGATCTCAGGTGGATTCTTTATTCCATGCTCTGTTAATGTTGGCAGCGGTTTGAGGAGCATTATTACCAGGTTTGTGCATTGCAAGAATTTCCACAGAGAATCATTAGTCAATCACCTTACAGACAACTGGTGAATGACTTTATCACATTTCTCAATCTTAAAATTTTGGGGGAGGTACTTCTTTTTAGACAATAACTAAAAAAAAAAAAAAAAACGGTTGCTTTGTTAAATTCGCGGTATCATCTGAAGTTTTTTGATGTGGATTCCTGGTTACCAAAGTGGGGCGCACGCCCAATAGGGAGAATTTGATTTTAAGGGGGCAATTCGAGAATGAGATATTAACAGTGAATCTTTTTCTAGTGAGTTTGTGTGAGTATGAGAGTGAGTTAATACATATGATCCATATACAGTATGCATACATAAATATATTTCTGTGTATCTACGTGTGTAATTACGTGTGTACTGTATATAATATATCGATATATTTATATTAGTAAGACAATATTAGCATAAATATTGCAAAAATTCTAAAATTAAATGCTAATACTATTGGATGTGTGTAGTCTGAAGTTCTTAGGGAAAGTTAAAGGCTTCGTCCACGTGAATAGGAATTAACTTTTTGAATAATAAATATTATATATTATGCTGAAATTTTAAAGATGCTTAGGTGGCGATTAACCCCGCCTTAAAAAAAGAGGTTGCGAACTTACTGGTGTATGCAGACGGTATGTGAAGAAATTAAGTTTTACACTTAAAGTATTTGCTTTTATCGAAGTCTCTTCATTTTTTGGAGTGTCCATCCTTCATTGCCATATAGAATATTAGATATTTTATACCAGTCCAACACTCTTTTTGCTTATAACAATATTTTCCTTTCTCTTAATGCTTTGCTTAGTTTCTTGAAGACATCTTTCGCTATTTCTATACGCCTTCGCATTTCTCTGTTGCGTTTTCCCTTGTCTGTTACTACACTACTCTGATAGCTCAATTTCCAACCGCTTGATTTTGACATCCCCAATACATAGCTTTGGGCTGTCTCTTTGGATGTCAACCATATATATGTCTCCTTACAGTTAATAGATAGTCCATTCTTCTCACTTTCCTCTCCTACCATTTTGGAAGTATTGAATTGATGAAAAATGTGCGTTTGCGTATGTGAATATATATCTACACTTGTTATTGTATGGTTTGGTCGAATAAAAAAAAAATAGTTTTCCGAAGTGATTAAATTGCTTCCTGTAGGACAGTGACCGGCATAGGCTCTGAGAATCTTGCCGGGTGTTTTAATAAATAAATAAATGTTTGGCCAAGGGTGTTGTAAAGAAGCAGAGTATGATGAGCCCGGGTAATGAAAGGCACCCCGAAGATGAAAGGGCAGGAAGCGAGAAAAAGATTGGAATATTTCAGGAATCGAATTATCACGGCTTTCTTTGAATGAATCAGGATTTCCAGTAAGATAAGAAATGCATGGAACGTGAGTAAGAAAGAGAATGAGAACCTGAAGTAAAAGTGTAAAAGAGAATGAGAAGGAAAAAAAAAGCGGCGGTAAATTTGAATAAAGAAGAAGAAGGAAAAATGGCGCTAAAATATACAGAAATTAAAAAAAAGTAAAGAGCAAGAGGAATGGAAAGTCGTTGTTAAAAAGTAAAAGAGATAAATTCAGAGGAAATATTTTGAAGAACGGCTTCCAGCCGGATGGCATAAAAAGATCAATATTCCAGTATTTTGGAACTGCAAATCTGTGAGTCCAATTTTTCTGGAAAGTCTAAGTCTTTTTTTTTTCTTTTTTTTAATTTTTTTAAACTCAAACTTGCATTGAAGAATAGTATTCGTAAATATGGTGAAAAGAGAGCATGGGCAAAAATAATAATAATAAAAAAAAAAAATAGAACTACTGAATCAGTGGCGACTTTCTAAACTTGGCACAAGGCCGACATTACCCAATGAGGATCGAACCCACTACTCAGACATAATTGTTCTGGCGGGACAAGCGTGCTAATGATTACACCACGTCGAAGCGCCCCATAGAGATATAGATGCGAGCACACAAACATCTCGCATACATACATACATACATACATATCATCTATCTATCTATCTATCTATCTATCTATCTATCTATCTATCTCTCTCTCTCTCTATAAATATATATATATATACACGTTTCATTAAATAATATAGACAAGTGTTGTCTATTTATTTTATGTAAATTTTGTTCGTAACATCTGATAAGTTTGATAACATTATCATTAAACGAAGAAAGAAATTCACAATATTGATCCATATTTTTTTTAATATAATCTAAGCTTTCGGCTTAAGCCATTATCAAAGATGTAAATTACAAAAATATTAAACAATATACGGACACGACAGTGATGATAGTCTGTCATTGTTTACATAGATAATCTCTAAGCAACGATAAACACGCTAGACGCAATCGTTTTTTTGGAACGAGAACAGTCTACCCCAGTGAGCGAAATAAAGGGTTCAGTTCGACATTCCAACCACCTGAAGAAGGCCAGAGCGTACAACGGCCGAAACGTTGTGATAAATATGGCGACAAAGATGAGGACAATAGTCCGAATAATGTAAATAATGTACATAGTACCTCATCTCAGAAATATAGACAGACTCGAATAACTTCTGTATTCATCGTACCAAGAAGAAATCCCCACCTCTTAATTTATTAATTTACAAAACATTTTCATTGATTACAAAACTAGTAGTGATAACTCCAATCTAAATATATGCAAGCTCTGGCTTACTTTTTAAAATAGCCCCAAACAACATTTCCAATTACTACTATAACTATGATTTGAATTTTTCCCTCCTTCCTCTTTCATCATATTACTATCTCCTATTCTCACCTTGCCTCTCTCACCCTTCACTCTTAGAAGGCTTGGAAATGCTGTGCCTAAACGCTTGACCTTTGTTGTCGAAAAGAAATTTTTCAGATCCAGCCATTACTTTAACAGCTCAATCATCCTTCACCAAACTGCTATCAACAACCGCCATTGTTGTACTCCGTCACATTTTTTGCCTTTATGTAGTTTTTATTTTCTACTTTTTTTTCTCGAACAGATTCAAAAAAGAAAGTGACGTTTCACATGAGGCTTGCTTACAAACAGAATTGTTCATAACCATTTTGGTTCTCACCAGTCGAAGTGCAATTTTAAATGCACTGAAACAAAGTTGCATCTTTGTAGTGAGTAAATTGTTTTTATCTATATGAAAAATTATAATAAACTATATATATATATATATATATATATATATATATATATATATATATATATATATATATAAGTGAACATTGGAGTCAACACTCAGAGGCGACAGGCTGTTTCATGCTAGACACAATAGTCAGGCGGCCAGAACTCACTTTTATATTTATATTTACATAAGCTCCATCTCTGATATTGAGCACTCTACCCCATAAATATAACACAACTTAAAACTATATTTCTTCATATATATCCACATGCAAGCCTGTTTCGCTGTATCACAGCTCATCAGTGTGGCAAACCAGACCGATTTGGCACCAGTCAGAGCTCCTACCCCTAAGGTATCAGCGCACGACAGAAAAAGAGAAATTGTTAACGTATTATATACGGATGTATAAAACGCCATCAGCCAGAGGGCTCAATTCATTAATGAAGAGCGGTGCGTCAATATTATTTTCAAATTACCTTTTTATCAGTATAATGCTCGCTATATATATATATATATATATATATATATATATATATATATATATATATAATATATATAAAGAATTAGTCGCACTGTTTTATTTTTTATTTTGAGCAGCATTTATTTCGTCTACTACCCCGCATACTCAGAAAATTTATTATATAAATTCCTGCGGGAGGACACTTTTTCTTTAATAAGTTTCCTCGAGTTTACAGGCTGGTTTATATAAATTTGAATATATATTTATATATATTATATATCTAGGCATAAATATATATACACTCGGCATATGCGTATATATTTAACGTAAATATGTGTAAATATATATCTGTATATGACGACACAAGAACACTTATCCTTTATATATATATATATATATATATATATATATATATATATATATATATATATATGTGTGTGTGTGTGTGTGTGTGTGTGTGTGTGTGTGTGTGTGTGTGTGTGTTTTTGTGTGTTAGGCTGATTCCATCAATAAAACCATTATTAGTCAAAACGCGCCTCTAAGAAATTCTTTTTTTACATTTTATCATTCACTTACCCACTATAGCTATATCTACAGATCGTTAGATAGATATGAACCGACTTTAGCTAGATAGATAGATTAAACTAGGATCCATCGAAAGAAATATTAATAAAAGAAGAATAGTTGAGGAAAAAGTTGAGCAAAATAATTGGATGGACAGCTCAAAGTTGGCCACAGCCGGGGCGGTTGGATCAAGAGATTACGGAATGGGGCAGTATATATGCACTGTAGATGTTGACCGATGGTGCCACTTGGCCGATACATCGAAAGAAAGACGTGTTTTGCCATTGAGGACTGGAAACAAATTTGGATGTATATACATGCCAATCCCATATCACATGATCAAGGATAGGCAGGGATATTTTTCTCTGTGACTGATGTCTTTCAGCCTGTTATGTTCGGGTCATCGTATCAATAACTATATTTGGTTTTACGATGCACTCAGGAATTAATATCTGTTCTATCTTGGAAGGGTTACAACAGAAGACGGAAAAATGTGAAACAGAAATCCGGAGGCACGTTTGAATAGGGAAAGATGCCTTCCAAAATCTAAACAAAGTATTAAGAAATAGGAAAAATTTCGTTAGCAACAAAAAAAGGAGTGTTGACCTACTATGTATTATTATTCATTCACATTCTTTACTGATGAAAAGATATGTTATTCTACAGAAGGATGCTGAGAATACCGTGGATAGATTATGTAAACACCGAGGAAGTTTTAAGGAACATAAAAAAACAGAATGGCATTTGTATTTAGAATCAGAAAGAGGCATTTGAAATTTCTAAGTTATATAATGAAAAAAGAGAGCTTGGAGAATTTGGCAATTTCAGGGCATATTGAAGGCAGAGGGGAACATTGAGCAGCCTACATAACAAGTTCGTGTAAATGGATGACAGAACAGGGACTAAGAGGATTAGTAAGAGGAAAAAAAAACATTGCTCATAGGAAGTTTTGGAGAGCCACGTCTTTTAGGAACATGACACATAGAAAAAGAAGATATGTTCTATTAGTTCGTAATGGAAGACACCACTCATATTTCACCAGACATAAAGCAGAGACTTTTTTAGATGGAGTCCTGGTTTTGGTATTGGACTGATTTATCAATTTGTGATAACCACTGTCTTTTTCTGTTTTGTCGACATGCAAAACCCATTTTTCATCATCTGTAACGATGCGATGCAAAAATGAAAGGCTGGCATTCTTAGTTGAAAGATTGATGCAAATGGTGGAACTTTGTGTTCGGCTATCAAGCAAACGTTTACGAGAAACCCAAATTCGGTGTTTTTGCAAGTTATCCCAAATCGCTTTTAATATCTGTGAAAAGTTGAAGATTAAGTTTATGCACAAAACCTTTGCAGCCTTGAACCCAATAACTAGTTTATTTCAAAAGTTTAAAAAAATTTTGAATGAAGCTAAAATGCGTAGTCTTCTAGATCGAGGCTTGTCAGTTACGTCATCATTAACGTTTTAAAACCTTTTAAACGTCTTTTAACTCTTGTAAAGCCGACATGTACGAGCTTTCGCTTCATCCGTGGCCAGTGCACAAAGGTTTTTGTTAGAGCTACTAATCTTTAAAGAATTAATACAGTACCACGAGCCGGAATTAATATTAACTGAAGCCACAGGTTCCATCTTCCCTGACAGTACCTCTCCTTCGGAAGAGGGCAGAAGTCATTACCTGACGCCTGAGGGAGCCCAAAAGGGGGAAGTAACTAAGGAGAATGAGCAATTTTTGAATGGCTTTTGGGAAAGTCCACCGACCTTGTGTGACATTCTATTGCGACATGTGAGACGTCAATAAATATTTACAACAAGCAATGGCTTTTAAAGTTATAATCCTTCATGGGGTTAAAGTCCGAACTGTAAAAAAACACACTGTCACATAAAAGAGATGAGAAACAAATTCTAGACGCAGATTCATACCATTCAATCTTATCTCAGAATTCATAGCAGGGAAATGCGTGCTTACTTACCGAATATTATAAAATAGATTATGCATATAATATATTGAATGGGGAGTTGATATATCTGTAGAATAACAAAGCTCTGAGCTGAATTTGGCACTGAAATTTTCACTCTATAATGTTCGATCAAGCTAATGATTATTCACTGCTGAATAAAGCGCATTGAATAACAAATTCATTCTTTATAAATAGGTTACGAACCTATTGACAAAGCTACATAATTTGAAAACCATCACTGAAAAGGACAAATGTATGGTGTAATAATAATAATAATACGTGAATATAATGGATTCGACTGGAATTCGAACTCAGCTCCCCGAGTATATATATATATATATATATATATATATAATATATATATATATATATATATATATATATATAAAAAAAAGAACAGTAAGATATATAATCCGGTGTTCCTACTGATATTTTTATTTTTACAAAATAGTGCTCAATGTAAATTTACAGAGCATTAATATGTGCCACATTTACTTACACACACACACACACACACACACACACACACACACACACACACACACATATATATATATATATATATATATATATGGCACATGGGAACATCAACAATCCCTTTTGTAATTGGAGCCCTCAGATTGGTTGGAAAAAATTCCAGTAGACATATTGAAGGGATCCCTGGAAGCCCATGCCTTAAAGAAATACAAGAAATTGTTCTCCCGAGTACAGCCCACACCTTACGAAGGACTTTATCTATGTAAAATATGTGTGTTGTTGTTGTTTTGTTTAATTGTTCAGTGGAAAATGTCATCATGCCATTTCTAACCTTAGGTCTCTGGGCGGGATCCGGAAAGAAATGAGTACACACCAGAAATCAAAGGAATAATAATAATAATAATAATAATAGTAGTAGTAATTTCTTCGTTTTGGGTCATCCGTTATCTATCCTACATATCCTCATGATAT